CCACCAAAATGATCGGGAGATGCTTCCTGGGTCACCTCGCTGCCAGCAGGCTGAGCCCTGGGCTCTCCGCAGACACCGGGCATCACCACTGCTAGGTGTCTGCTGCCCCCCTGCCCTTTGGGTCTCTCAGGCTTGAAACCACCTTTTCCACCTCTTCTTGTCTTCTGCTTTCCCCTCTCCGCATTGTTTTAATAACAGTGAGGGGTGCTGGTCGGTGAATGCTATTTTGGGATGCACAGAATCAGCGGCCCTGCTGTCAGGGAAGGGCTGGGTGGTGGCTGGCGGGTCTGGAAGCGTGAGCTGGGCACGAGGATCCGCTGCGAAATCAAAGCAGCTCTGAGTTTTCCTTCTCCCGTGAAAACTTTGTCATTCCTCTGTGCCCCAGGCTGTTATCGGAGACAGAAATGAGTTCCCTGCAAAGCCCTGGGTGGGTTGGTCTCCTCCACGCTTTGTTGAAATGTTGGATTGCTTGTGTCCTGCCTTGTCCTAGTCCATCCATGTTGCATTTTCCAGCCTTTTTTTTTTCCATGAATGGTGTGAAAGTGTCGCCCTGGCAGCTGAGAACCATCACACCCTCACCTGGTGCTCCTGGGCAGAGGAGCTGGATTTGGGGCTAAACCCACCGAGGGCTCTGACGGTGGGCTGGAGGTCCACCACGTATTAGGGGGGAGCAGAAGGGATTTGGGGCTTGGATGCTGGGGAGAAGCTGTGACCAGGAGCACCTTTCCCATCCTCAAGACACCTCTCTGACTCCCTGCTGGGCTTGCAGAGCAATCCCCAAACTCAGGGGTTGCACGGCAGCAAGCTGTGAGCATGGAGGAGAGGAGCAGGGGCTTTCTCCTTACCGCTGATGGTTTCTAACCTTTCCCTTTGCTTCCCCAGGCTTTAACACTGCTTAAGCAGGAGCAGCAGCACTCAGCTGGGAGCTGCCTTTGGCCTGGCACAGCTGCGTGTGGAGCACAGCACATATGCACAAAATAAAGCAAATACTTGGCTTTTAGGGCTGCGTTTGCTTTCATAATCTTCCCCATAGCAGCTCCCCTTGCCATGCCCTGGAGCTGGCAGCCAGCTTCAGACCTGCTGGACTCATTTCTACCCAGCTACTGCTTGCCTTGATGCTTCATACGCTGATGTGTTTGCTTCTGGGTTGAATTGGGCTGAAACTGACCCAAAACGAGAAGCAGCCTGATCTCAGTGAATTGCTTGGCCGTGTGATGATGCTTCAGCCTCGTGCTGTGAACCCCAGCTGAGCAGGAGCAGCTTTCCAGCCAAAGTCAGGGCTGTGCTTTTTGGCCAGGGATGGCAAAGCTGTGGTCAGCACCGAAGCTGTGCAAAGGGGAGTGGGTGAGGGGTCTCCTGTGCAAGACTTGTGGCTGGCACAGCTTGTTTTAAACAAGTTTTGTGGGTGCTGAGTGTTACTGACACCATACCAGGGTGCTGAGCTGTCCTGGGTGCCTCCACGCCATGCCCTGGGGGGCGGCTCTGCTCACCTTCATCAGCTTTGGGATTTGTGCCATAACTGCCATGAATAATCCTTTGTTCACTTATAAATGACTTATTGGGATGAATCCACCACCTATGCCCTGCTTTAGGGGGCCAGGGTTCAGCTGGGCACACAGTGATTTTCTCCTTTAAGCTCTGTGATTTTGGGGTTCGTGCTGGTTTTCTGCTTGGGGAGCTTCATCCTCCAGAGCCTTGGATGCATTGGGTCTCCTGCACCTCTTGAGTGGACCGTAAGGCATGAAGTGCTTCATCAGGTGCTAAACCTCAGGTTCAGAGAGACCACAATTACTTTTTTTCATGCTATTGCATAGCCAGCACTGGGGAGAAGTGCTTTGGAAATGTAATTTCTGCATTAGCTCCGGGGCCAACTTGTGGGCTTGCTGTGGATGATCCTGTGGCCCTCCAAGTCCTAATTTACAAGTGTCTCTACGTCCAATTTAGATCTTCGCCCAGCTCAATGAGAACTGTCCCCCCTGCATTTATTAGCATGATGCAGGGTGCCTCAGCTCACCGTCCAGCCCGGTGGCTGTCAGCACAGCAAGCCTAATCGATCCTTCTCTTTCGCTGCTGCTTTCAATTTTGTGCCCTGACTTTGAGTAGAAATGCTTTCTTTGTGCCTGGGCTTCCAGACCCGTATGTTTGGAGCGAGCAGCCCTGTGATTTTTGCTTCAATAACCAGCCGAGACAAGAGGGGAGAGTCGGGTCAGGACGGAGCTGCTGAGCACCTGGGGGTTTAATGAGATTTGTGCAAGATGCCGGCAGGAAAATGCTGCTGGAGGTCAGGTAAAACCTCGCTGGAGAGCCCTTAGCATTGCTGGAGGGATGCGAGATGGAGCAGAGGTGTCCTCACGGCGAGCAGCAACTCTTCCCGGGGGGGTTTTATCCTCCCTTCCCATCCCCTGCACGTGGTCCTCATGCTCACCTCTCTCACCCGCTATTAATGACATTTCACAAGGTGATGCTCCGGCGTGCTGATTAAACAGGATATTGAAGATGAAGATAAAATGTCCTGGAAGGAGGCTGCCTGCTCTCTGTTTGGGAAAAAGAGTTTTATTTTGCCACAAAAATGGTCTGGGAATGGCAAACTGGGGGAGAAACCTGCTGTGATGTGCCTGGCCTTTGCCAAAGGGACAAGGGATGAAGGGGTCATATGCCACCCACCCCCCTGCTCCTTTCATGAGGACCCCCTGCTTGTGCCAGGGCCTGTTGGATCTGTAGAGACTTCAAGTTTGTCCAAAATTGGCCGATTTTAACAAAAGCTACAGTTGTGCAAGCATCCTTTGCTCCCCCTTGCTCCATTTCCAGGGGTGAGCTTAGGGCAAATGGCTCTTCTCCAGTTTTGGGATCGGCCCCAAATGCTCATAGCTGAGCAAACCATGCATGAAACCATTTCTCTGGGAAGAAAAACAATTATTTTCCCACCCGAAATACATATCTGTGGATAATGTTAATTGCACAGCTCTGAATAATGCTAATTGCACTCGACCTCTGTGGAAGACATATGTAGATAATAATACCTCGGTCTTCAAACATCCTCTCCAGAAACCTCATGAATATGAGTGAAATGCCTCAATTTTGTCCCTTTAAGCCTCCCTGCTTCATCACGAGGCTGACGAGCGCGGCGGGGGCTGGAGGAGCTGGGCGATGTAGGTCATGCCCCAGTTTTTCTCTGCTGAGCAGCTGTGGGACCTTCCTCCTTCCAACCCCATCCATGCCCAGCCCCAGGCTTGGATGGTCTCTTGGAGCTTCCAGAAGGGATATTTTTCCCCATACCTTGTTGGCCTTGATTTCCCCAGGGGACATCCCTTGGGGGACCCAGGCAGGTCCCTTCCTGCCAGCACTGGAGGGGAATGTATGGCTTGTATATGGTATCTGGCTGCCTCCGACCCGTAAATATAGCTCCAGCGAGAGCATGTCTGCATGTGTGTGACAGTCTGTGCAGCCAGGCTCTATTTTTAGGAGCGCTGGCAAAGGACACACACACACGCACACGGTTCTAATCACAGCTTCTCCCAGGCAAATGTTCTTTCTCTGGTTTTCGAGCCATGCTTATCAATTTCCTCTGCATTGTTTCCTTCCCTTCAGCCGTGCCGTCACAACCCGCAGCCGGCAGGAGGGAGAAAAAGGGGTGTGATGGGGAGGAAAGGTGGCAGCGAGGCACCTGGGTGGGATGCAGGGGCTGTTCCCAGGTGGGGGGATGTGCCCCCAGCTCCGTGGATGGGGTTTGTTGGGTGGCCGTGGGCTGGGGGCTCACCTGGAGGAGCTGGGCTGGAAGGTGAGTGATGCCTCCAGCCTGCCCGAGTGTCCTCTGTGAGGTAGTGGAGGAGTTTATTAAAATTTTCAAGATATTTATCTTTTTTTCATTCTTTTTCTTGGTGTGGCTGTCCAGGGAGGGACATCAGAAATGAGCGGTCAATGGTGCATGTCCAAGTTTTCTTGTGCTCTGTTGGAGAACCCCAAAATTTCACTTCTTAAAAACCCACCTATCCCTGTCCGTGTTGCTCACTGCTCCTCTTGGAGCAAACGTTCCTGATTGAACATTTCCAATAGGAAATATTCCTAAATTAATTCACCCCCATGGCTGGCGAAGTCGCAGGCAGTTGCATTGCGATGACCTCCAACAGTAAGTGGTTGGATGGGGACGCCCGTGCCAGCCCAGAAGCATAAATATTTCCGTAAGCCGTGCACCTTTGCCAGGAAAAGTGTATTTTTCCTCCAGCTGATTTGCAGGCAGTGGCGAGACGAGTTTCCCAGGGTCTCTCCCAGCTTCATTAAGTGGTCAGAAGCAATTAATTTAACCCTTCTCTTCCTCCAGTTGTAAGGACAGGGATTATTAATTGCCCGTGGAGGTGGCAAAGATGGATGAGGAGAGTTAAGGCTGGCCGTGAGCTTTCAGTGCAATTTCTGCTTTCTTCAGATAATGAAACTAAAACGTTTTGATCACCCCAAATTGAGTAAAAACCCTGGCTCTGAAAAGCCTCAGTGTTTGAACTAAAATGCTCCTTGTCCAGCACGAACAGAGCAAGTAAAAATTCATCATGGGCTAAGCAGGGCTGCGACACAGAGCGGGACCAAAACTTCTCAGTGCTGGCTGAAAAATGGACTTTATTTTTATTTCAGTGGCATTTTTGGGCTTAAAGATATTATGAAGCAGAACCGTGTTGTCTTAAAATTTTCAGTGAAAGACTATTGAAGCCATCCTACCAGGCATTTGGTGCTATTTGCTTCGACAGGCCTTTAACTTCTGAGCTTCAAATTAAGGCTTGAAGCTGACAGACATTACTATTAAAATACATTACAAAATTTGGAGTAAAATAGCATTTTTAAAGAAAGGATAAACAGGGTGTTTGTCAGGTATTGGGGTCACTAATTTTTATTTTTTTTCTAGGGAGAAGGGAGGTGAGGGACTGGCTCGCCCAAGGCTCTGCAGCGATGCTGCACCAGCATGGAAAAAACACTTCTAATTCTAGGCTTGAAAAGGGAAAAAAAAAAAAAAAAAAGAAAGAAAAAAAAAAAAAAAAAAAACAACAACAAAAAGAAGCATTATGGGAGATTTGGGGAAGAAAATGGCTCTCGGCTGTGGTGCCACCGGAAGGCCCTGTCCCTGCCTGCCCTCCGCTCCTCCAGCTGATGGCAAAGCCTGGAAGAAAATATATTTTTTTAATGGGCTATTTGCTTTCCTTCACCATTCCCCATAAACACGGCTTTTTGTCTCATAGCGAAGATGCACTCTTGCTTTTATAAGCCGTCTTAAGCACCACTTCTTACATCAATGGCTTTAAATGAAAAAAGAAAGCGCTTTTGAATACAAATGTGGCATTTACTTCCTTAATGCCTCTCTTGCGCTAAGCTACCTTCAAACCCATCAGAGACACTTTAATATATTGAACAGAACTCCCCTCATTTTGATGCTAATGCAGCATTTCATGCAGATAATGTGCTTGAATCATGCACTGAAATACATTAAAGGTGAAATCCAGAGCCTGGAAAACCCTCTGGTGTCTCAGTGCTCCCCTCCTTCCCCCGACCTGCATCCACTTTTGGGGTCTGGCCAAGCCTCTTGGTAGGTCCAAGGCCAAGCTTGTCCTACATGACTTGGTTGGTGCCTTCTAATCAATCAAAAACCCCAAATCACCTGTTGTTTTTCATGCTGTTGCTCTGCAATGGGCTGTTCACTGGTGGGACTCCTTGCTGGGAGGTCCTAATGCAGCATCGTGTGGATGCAGCCTTCATCGTCGCTGTGCCAGGACACACTGAAAGCCAGAAATGACTTTTTTCAACCCGAGGAGAGCATTTCTATGCTCTTGTTGTGCTACTTATAACCCTAAACACCTCTCGTCCTCCTTCGGACGCAGGTATCGATGACCCCACCTGGATGCGTTATCACGTTCCTCTTCTCCTAATGCGTGATAGCAGGGACCAGGTGGTAGGAGAGGGGCTGCCTCTTCCATTTGTTGTTCACTGTGAGTCAAAACTAATAATTAAGCTCTGAATCTGGGTCATTAGGAATCGAATCCCCTTGCAATAAAAGCATAAAGCTTCCATTTTGGGTCAGTGGGTGTCGGAGGACTTGACAAGAGGCACCTTGTTAGAAAGGGATTAATTTATTCATGGAAACCTTGCTTTGTTTTGAAGAAATCAAAGCCAGCCACGTCAAAGTTTGGCAATTCTTTCAACTGTGCTTTTCTGTGACTGCAGTGGTGTGGCTGGGGGTTGGAAAAAAAAAAAAAAAGAAAAAAAAAGAAAGATTTCTGCTAAAACTGCTGTTATCTGTGTCTGCAGCTCCTTGGAGCAACCCCCTTGTCCTGGGTAGGATGCACCAAACTCAGCTCACTTGTACCATCATTGGGGTGAGGGCGTTGGGCTCACCCCTGAAGTCTTCAGGGTCATTTTTTCTCCTTTGTAATTAATGCTGCCACCTCTCTGGTGTGAGCTGTGCTGTGGTCTTCTGCTAGCACGGTGTGTGAGTTAAGCTGTCTGGGTATGTTCCTGAAGAACTAAAGATATTACTATTATTTTTTCTCCCTCTCTCATTACTCACTTACAAGAATCTCACAGAATGGAAGTAATGGATAACAAACAAAAGCTCAGACCTCATTAATGTCACCGTGCCCTTCCTGGGTGGCTACGTGTGGCTTTTCCTGGTAAGGCTCAGCGCAGCGGCGCGTGGGGCAGCACCGAGCATGGGAAGGGAAAAGCTGCAGATGGGAAACGTGTCTCACCTGTAAAACAGTTAAACCTAATTTCCTCTCCCTCTCCAGCCTCAGAAAAACCCAAACCACAAGAAAATTGGGCTGTAACGCTCTTGGCTCGATGCACCTCTGGTTTGTTTGGAGCAGGAGTGATGTTTTTCTGAGCCAGGCGCTTTATTCTCCTTGCTCTGCCACCTTGCAACGATGTCCCCACATCAAATATTTTACATAAAGCCCCGAAAATATTTCCAAAAAATATTCTCCCTTGGCAAGTGTCTCTGGTGGGAGCAGCCTAGGAGGGCAGGGGAGCCCCAGATCTGGACCCAGCCTGCTCAGCTATCACGGCATGGTCCCACAGCTGGAAAGCTGCTTGCTGAACGCACGTGGGCAGGTGGAGGAGGCTTGCTCTGCTCTGGCTAATTGGGTTCATTTCTCTTAATTAACGCTCCTCACTAATGAGCAGCCATCCCTTCAGCAAAGCCCAAGGAGGGGCTGATAAACAGGCAAGGAGGGCTGCTAACTGGATTACGTGCCCTGTGGAGCACGTTGGCTTCTTCCCGTTGGAAAGGAGAGGAAAACGTTGATGCAGAGAGCTTTATCCCTGCTTTTTTTTTTCCATTTCCAGGGAGAGGAGTAGTCCCCATCCCATTACCCCATGGGTACTATCATATGCCTATCATGTTGTCCTTCAGGTGATGCCCTGTGTGCGGATGTGCCTGGGTTACCACTGAGATCTCCCAATTTTGCTCTCCACCACCCCAATTTGGAGCATCCTTTGAGGGTTTTCCAACCATGGGACGATGTCAGCGGGGATCACTGAGCCTTTTGGCACCAGGACAGCTGCCTCAGGACCAGGACACCTTCCCCTGGTACATCACAGGCGCCCTCCATCTCTGGGATGTGTCGAGCCCATCTGCCCCACGCAGATCCTGCGCTCATCACAGCCTCTCCTCACCCCCATCCGCTCCACCAGCTGAGCTTATTTCCCCAATTAAACACAACCAGCCCGTGATGGAAAGGAGGAGGGAGGCAGCGAGGAGGGATTTTTATTGGGAAGTCATTTCTTCCTTAATTGAATCACTCCCGTTAAGAGTGGCAAGGAGAAGAGAAACAAAAAGGCGAACAGGAGGTAAAGGCATTTAATTCGCTCCTGCTTGAGAGCAGCTAATATTAATAAACTTCTGGATGGAGGGATTTGCAAGGGCTTGTTTGAGGGATTAACTCCAAAATGGTGATTAGATTTCCCAGAGTGAACATGTTGATAAACAAGTGAAATGGGGGGACCTGATGTTGTCCCCCCAGGCCATCAGAGCTGCTCTAGGGCATGGGACTTCCACCTTTATGCCAAAATCAAGCAGAGATGATATTCTTGGCCCTTCCTAAGAAGGTTTCAGCTTTGCTTACCATAAAGACCCTTCAAACTTGGGGTTGGGTAAAGGTGGGACCATTATAGCGACCACATGGGCTAAGGAGCAGGATTAGGGAGGCGCTGACCCCAAATCTGTGGGGTGGTCCCACAGTGGGGATGGATGCTCCAACAAACCTGACTGTGGCTGTGTGTGAGGCTTCTTCCGTGAGTGCAACGTGGAGGCAATGATGTTACAGGGGAGGAGGGGGGAGCTGGGTCAGCCCCAGCCCCTAGGGAGGAACTTCTGAGACCTTTCGTCTTGCCCTTTTGCTTGCTTTTTGATGAAATGTTTTGTTTTGGGAATCATGACACATTGATCAATTTAAAACGCAGCTGGTTTGACTTTTGCCTTTTAAAGGTTTTTCCTTTTTTTTTTTTTTTTTTTTTTTTCAGTGCAAGCATGGACCTAAACAGAGGATGCAAAGCCCAAAATAGCACGCTCCACACCGGGGCAAAGAAACACACGTTGTCCTGAGGCAAAGAAGATCTCTCTGCTTCTACTTAACCCATTTTTTTTTTCTTCATAATTTTTCTGAAGCTTCCCGTGAAAGTTTCTGGCTTGGATCAGCCCATCTATCTATCTATTTTTTTTCCTGGTGTTTTTGTTTTGCTTCCTGGGTGAAATATCCCTTGTTACTTGCTCCATGAGTGTGGCTAGACCCAGACCTTCACTGGTGCCTTCTCTTCTTCTCGTAGAGCCCAGCCGAAGAATTTCAGTACCACGGGGCTGATTTGGTCAGGTGTCTGCATCCCACCATCTGCTTGTCCCCTTAAATGGGCTATTTAAGAGGGGAAGAAAACAAAACAAAACAAAACAAAACAAAACAAACAAAAAACATTTATTGGGTTGCCTTTGGCCTTCAGGCACCAAATCTAATCTGCTTCTGATGGATATAATCAGATAAGGAATGCCGTGTGTAGGAGCACTCCTTTGGTGCCTTCCTGTCCCCATCTCCTGCTCCCAACAGCCTGAGCTCGCATATCCAGCCCAGGGTTATGAAAAAGGAAATAAATGGGGGAAAAAAAAATAAAAGCAGAAGAGGAAAAAACAAACAAACAAAAAACTGTTGAGAGCTGGAGGTGCAGGGGATGATGGGGAGGTGAAGGAGGAGATGGGATTTAGTCCTTGCTCTGCCCTGCAGGTTTGGAGCATCGCTGGTATCATTTCCAGACCTTCCCACCAGCCCATCCCCATTCTGGGATGGGAAACATCCCCAGCTCCTGTGAATGTCCCCGCAACCGTGCCCTTCTCTTGTGCCCAAGGTGTCCCCATTTCAAATGGAAACAAAAAACGGAGTTTCTCTTGTTTTTCCATCTTCTGTAAATTTTTGATTTTGGGATCTTGTAGGGTTTTGGGTCAGTGAGGCAATCCTGTTGGAACAAAATGTTGCACCTCGTTTGGGAACAACCTTGTTAAAACACAATGTCTGGGGGGCAAGGGGATGTGACATCTGTGTCCCCAAGGAAGAGCCAGCCTGCAAGGTCATCGCTTTGTATCTCTGCACACTGAAGACAAGCTCTGTCCGATCCTCAACGTTGCCTGACCCCACAACCCCAAAACGCTTGGGCAAATGCCTTTTAATTGCTGAATGCTCACTTCTCTGCTAATTAACATCCTCACAGGCATTTAGGAAATGATGCTCTTTGTTCATAATTACCAGTAAAAGGTGAATCCCAGCTCCTGGAAGCAAAGTAATTTTCACCTAGGGGGAAAACCTATTCCCTTTCCTTTTTTAACGTTGGTGGGCAGAAAGCAGGGTGCTTTATGGAGGCAGCTCATGCAGCAGGTGGGGAAACTGAGGCACGAGGCCACGAGATTCAGAGCAGAAATAGAAGCCCTGCTTCCACCCTGACGATCAATATTCCTCACGAAAACCTTGGTGGCAGAGCTGGTGAGCTTTTTCCCTCTGCCAAATCGGTGCCATCACCTGCCATCAGCACAGTGCCATCAGCTCCTGGTGCGGGCTGACCGCATCCCACGAGGGACGGGAGATAGGAGAGGGCCTAACTCACCGGTGCTCTCCCAACTGATCTTCAAAAGCACTTTGAAGTTGGGGAAATCAGTGGGGTTTTTATGTTATGTTTTTCTCTTCTTTTCCTTTTTTTTTTTCCTAGGGTACTAAACTTCCGAACTTTGGTTTTTAATGAGGAAGGAGCTCCGCGGCTCGCATCAAACGATGCTGGCCAGCGGGGCTCTGGAGCAGCAGCTGCACGAACGAGCAGGAAGGTTGAAAAGCATGAAAAGAAAGGGAAGAAATTCCTCCGGGTGAGCATGGAGATGCCTTGGGGAAACTCCTGGTGAAACCTTTCCCTTCCTGCATGAGACGTCCCATCGGGTAGGGGTGCTCCTGGGGAGAAGACACTTGGCCAAAGACAACCTAGCAAAGCGGTGTTGGTTCAGAAACTATACAAAATATTTAAAATGTTTTATTTAAAAAAAAATAAATCTAGATTTATATTTTGAAATAGCAATGCTGCTAATCAGGAATTTCACTTGGATATAGTTGATGGTAAGCTCTACTGCACCTCCTGCCACGTGTCCTCGCCCCGTGGTGACATCCTCAGGATGCTGTGGGGACTTTCCACATCACCAGAGCTGGCCAGGGGAAAGAAAGAGCTGCCAGGTCTTATGCCCACTTGGGAGGCTCCTGGTGCTTTTCCATGGCCTTCAAGAAGGAGGACATCACCTCCCACAGCCCCAGCCTTGTTCCCAACACATGTCCACCAGCCTGAGCTCAGGCGACTGTTTCTCTGCAGGTGTTTTGCCGGAGGGAAGGACAGACGGAAGGCTCCCTTGTGCTGTTCGTCCCTTCCTTGCTCCTTAGTTTAATTTTAGCTGTTTCTTTCACCGGGGGCTGAGATGCGCTGCTGGTTTGTTTTCCCCTGCAAAAGCACCCAGACAAATATAGACAAGGATCCATTTACATTACAGGCAGGACAAAACATAGGAGGCTGCTCCTATTTAATAATAGCCACCGTACGGATATTGCTCTCAGGGCTTTGTCATGCAACAGCTTGTTTTATTAAATCCTTCACGCCCTGTGCCAGCTTTATTCAGCTGAGTGGTGCCAGCTTGACAGTCGTCTTGGAGACAAACATCCTCTCGGGGTCCATGTTTGTGGGGTCAAGCGCTGCTTTTACGGCAGCCACCATCCCCTGGACCACCGTGGCTAAAACCTAACCTGCTTTTGGTCACAGGTTTTGGGCTGGAGCCCCTTGGTTGGCCACCAAGCGTTTTCCAAGCCCATATCCTCCACTGGGACTTTGTGCAGAAAACCAGGTCCAACCTCTGCTGAACCCTTCCCAAAACATAAATCCACCTGCCAACCTTCATGGAGGTTCGTGTTTTTCCACCTGGTTGCCTATTCAAGGTGAAGTGCCAATCCCTGGTCCCTCCCCAGCTGGGCTGAAGGTGTTCTGGCCAATTTTAATCAAATTTGGGAGAGTTGTTGGTCTGTCTGTCTGTCTTGGAGGGACATTCACTGGTTAAAACCACCCTGGAGCTCTGCAGGACCCTCAGTGTGAGCCCTCTCCACATGCCAGCACGTCAGAGGGTACCAAAAATGATGCTTTTGAGCCTTTTGGTCTAAAAGGCTTGGATGTGGAGCTGTGGGGGGCATGTTGGGTTGGGTGCTGAGCACCCCCGAGTCTCTGCTTTCTTCTGGATGTCCAAGTGGGGCTGGGTGGGCTGCAGAGGGTTCCTAAAGCTTTCCCAAACCAGGGATGCACTGCGCTCTGCTCTCCCTGAGGATCAGGAGAGGAGAATCAGGGAGCGCGTGCACAAGCAGATGTTGGTTCTGCTAGGTGGAAAAAAGAAAAAAAAGGAAAAAGAGAAAAAAAAAATCAGTTTTGTTCTGAGCTGAGGTAGGAGAACACAATCACCACCGCGTCTTCATCTCGGCGCTTTCTGAGCGAAAACAGCTTTTCATTTGAGAGACTTCAAGGTGTTTTGGAGAAGTCAAAGCACTGCCAGTTCCAGCGTCCTGCTTGGAGCCCTGTCCTTCATCTCAAACAGGCCTTGATCAGAAAACAGATCTGGTTGTGTGCACGTGAGTGCTGCTGGGGGATGAAACCCACCTGCACGGAAGTAGCTTAGGGCTTGCTCAAGGGGCAGGGCAGCCAAAATCTTGCTGCCACCCATAAGAGGCTGAATTTTGAGATATTTCCTTGCTATTTACCTGTTCTCTTTGGTCCCCTTCATTTATCCAATTCATCATCATTCAAGAAGTGAGCCCCGTGCCTCAGTTTCCCCAAGGTGCCTGTTATGATGTCTGCAGGATGCTGGGGCCATATAAATATCTCCAATAAGTAGTGCTGAGAAAAAAAAAACATTTAATTTCCCATCCCATGATCAGATTTGACTGCAATGTATTTCTCATCTTTATTTCCCCCCCAGATTGCTCCCAGCACCAGCTGGGCTGGGAGCCGCTCCTGCCCCACACCTCTGATATCAAACAGGATTTTTCCCACTGGGGGGAAATCCCCAAACACACCAAAACGCTCGCTTACACAGGAGGGCAAAAAGAGTTGCAAGAAACAAACAGAGCCCAGGTGATTTATTCCATGGATTTCACGCCGCACAAAGCACCTGGAAAATAGCTGTGTGGGCTTTCCATATGGGTTGCTATTATTTTCCAGGGTACAGAAAACAGATTGTTGGAAGAACTCCCTGTTCTGTGGCTTGTGCTATTTTTTTTTTTTAATTTTTTTTTTTTTTTTAAAGCAGAGCAGCAGTCAGTGCTGTTTCCTCTCTGCTGAACGTTGTTTAGCGATTGCTCCTGGTGCAACTCGAAGCAGGAAAAAAGCTGGGAGCTTTTAATTAAAAGCCGCAATCTGCTCTTTCCTCTTGGTGCAAAGTCTCACCTACAACATGGGAACTGCAAAATGATAATACCAAAAGCACTCTTCCTCCGTGGGGAAGGACTGAGTTTAAACCGTGGGGTTGCCACAAACAGAGGTATTGGGGATCTCAGAGATGGTTTGAGGAAACCTTTGGGCACTTTGCTGATTTTTTCAAATTTTTTTTGGTGTTATCTCCTAAGTTTTAACCCTGGTGTTTGGTCCAATAAATATATAAATAAATAAAACCCACCCCGGTTTTGTTACATACACGCTGTTTTCTCATGTCTGGCTGCCCCACCGGCTGTTTGGCAGCATCCATGCATGGCTAAAGAGGCCGGCTTGCTTCTGAGCACGTCGCCGCGCGTCTCCATCTCCCCGGCTCCCAGCCGCGGGGACAGGGGGAGGCTTTCGCGGGAGGGAAACCCACCGTGACGCTGCTGTGGGCTCTGATATCTGCCGGGGATGCTCTCAATTAGCTCCTGCTTGATAATCGATGATTTTTAATTCTTTTTTTTTTTTTTTTTTTTATATATATATATTTGCATTTTTCTCTCGGCTGGCTCCTATATTTGGCGCTTGGGAGCGTGTCTGCCTGTGCCTGCCGTCCTTCCATCTGCGCGTCTGGCTCAGCAGGGTGGCACCGTGCTTCCCCCAGCGAGAAAAAGCTTTGGGAAATCCTATGGGGTTTTATTCCCCCCTCCACTGATGGTAGAGAGGGGAAAAAAAACTTGTAACCTGTACTAACAAGAGGATGCTAATACTGATAACGCTCATTTGTGTGAGCTGCGGTGCTGCGTTTCCATCCCTGTCCTTGGTAAAATGCTAAATATCCAGGGAGATAAGAGCCAGAAGCTTGGAGCCACCCCTTGAGCCTCCTGAAAAGGTCTGGTGCTGCTCTGTGGAAAGAGTTTTGGCTTTGGGGGGGGGTTTGCACCTCCTTGGGTCCCATTCTGGGGCTTTGCCCAGCAAACCAGGGGATGTGTGAAACAGGGGCAGAGCGTGGGCATGAGGACAAGGAGGGATGCAGCATATTAAAACACCAGCCTCCTTCAACTTATTTTTCCCTAAAATCCTTCCCTAATTTTCCCTAAAATTTTCCCTAAAATTTATTTTCCCCAAAAACATCCTGGCAGGATCGCAGTAGGAGGGTTGGAGAGGCGAGGGGAGTGCTGCGTCCGTCCCACCTCAGCCTTCATCCCTGGACCCCAAAAGATGCTCGGAGCCCCTGGGCCAGGTTTGGCCTGGATCCAAGGTGCCTCAGGGGGGGATTTTCGGTGTCCCCCATCCCTTCTGCACGTGACGTTGAATAGCAAAAATAGTTTTGCAGGAGGGGGTGAGCTGATCCATGCATGGCGCAGCATCCTATGCGAAGGCACCCGTGCCAAAAGCCGACAGAGGAAGAAGCCCAGGGTGAATTTTGGGGCGGTGGAGCAGGACACGGGCTCCGAGCTATATTTGGGTCCCCAAGCAGTGGAAGCGGGTGGCCGTGGGCTCATGGGGAGGGGGGGGGCTGGCAGCCGCGGCTCCCGGCCCTCAGATGGCGCATTGAAATTCAAATCGCGCCTCTCCACCGCTGAATCTCTTTGTTGCTTCTTCAAATGACTAATTGTCACTTTTTTTTTTTTTTTTTTTTTTTTTTTTAATAAGGCAGCATCACGGGGAGGTGCGGGAGTTTTTTGTAATAATAATCGTAAAGGGGAGGGGGGAAGGAAGGGGGTGGGGAAAGAGAAGGAGAAGTGCCAGGGATAGTAAATCTCTCCCTCCTTTCCACATAGCAGCTGCCGTGCTGCTCTACCGCGGCGGCCAAGGCACTTCATCATCCTCGGGGGTTTGCTGGGAGCAGCATATCGCTTGGGTAGACAGGGCGAATCCTGCTACGTTTGCTTTTTATTTGCTTTATTTATTTATTTATTTATTTTTAAAGCTCTAAATAGCTGGGGACAGCCCTTTCCCAGTTGCTCTCCGCAGGGGACTCGCGCGTTAAATCAAACACGGTGACGTCCCCGTTTGTCCCCCAGCGGGGTGGCCCACGTCCCTGCCCACCACCACGATGCTCCAGGGGTTTAGGGTGTTGCTGCTTGCTCTGACAACCCTTTCCCTTCGTGTTGCTTCTTGGCTGTCCCTGAGATGGGAAGAATGGGATGGGTTTGTTGGATCTCTGGTGGTGCAGGGATGGGGGAGCCCCAGCTCGGGCTCTTGTCTCTTCCCTTTCCAGCCCAGGGTGATAGGGAAGAGGTGGCCAAGAAGGTATCAAGGACGATAAGTGGGATTTCTTCTGCAATCCTGGCTCCCCCTAAATAGGGGAAGGGAGCAGCAGCGCTGCTGGGTGAGCTCTGTCCCCACGCAAAGAGCCGGGTGCTGATTTTGCCCCACGCAGCATCCTTCCAAGCCGGGGTCGGCCACATCCGTGGCATGGAAAGACTTCTTCTGGCTTTATTTATCTCAGCGCATCTCTTGCTGCTAACTGCTGCCAGCCTGGTGCCAGCTGGCCTGTTTATGATGCCAATAAAAGTCAAACAGAGAGATAAAATTGCACCTGTCATAATTGGGCTTGATTTAGAAGCGGTTGGAGCGAGCTGGAGGGCTCAGGGGCGCACCGTCGCTTTGCGATGTCCCTTCCCTGTGTTTTTCCTCCTGGACCTTGAAAGGATGCTGGCGATGCCAGCCCCAAAACTGTGGCCATAAGGACGCACGTGAATGATGCTACTGGGCCAGCTTTTGATGGATTCACCTCCTGTTTCCCTCCTTGCCCTGACCACAAGAAGTGTAGAAATTTTTGGTGCACGTTTTGGGATGTTTTTCTGTTTTGCAGGAGCACAGGCACTGGTGAGAATAATGAGGCTCCGCGGTGTTTTTAATAGATCAGGTTTCCTCCGCTGCTCCCTGGTTGCCTTTCTCCCTGCTAATTCTCCCATTATCCTCCCTTAATGAACAACTGCTGGCAAATAAAGCCCTGGGCATGCAAAGGATGCTCCTGTGGCCCCGAAGCTGTCCTGCGGCTGGTGGGGAGGAGAAGGCAGAGGGATGCTGGAGCCCCAGCCTGCCCAGGAGCCCCACCGAGCAGGAGCTGCTTCTTGCTCACTGCCCTTTCCCGAGCTTTAGTCCTATTTTTGGCTGATGCTTCTGCTTGGCTTTTGTTGAAAGAGTGGCAGCCACGGGCTGGTACTCAGCTCCTGATGCTCTAGGTTATCCAGACCTCATGCTATTTAATCTCCTTTCCCAATCCGATGAATATTAATGGAAAAAGTGGTACCTGGGGTATGAACCCCAGTAGGAACATCCACAACAGCTACAGGGATCCAAAATCTTGAGGTCTGTCCTCAATTTGAGGTTTATTTCTCCCATCAGATTGACTCCCCAGGGCAGCATTGCTTTCTCTCCACCTGCTCTCTTTCCCCCTTGCTGCCAAACGAGCACAAAACCAAGGCTGTAGGAGCTCCCCGGTAATCCTAAGAGCGCCCCAGCCTGGGGCTGTAAGGAAAATGCCCTGACCTGATGCTCTGGGAGTCTTCCCAAGCATCCCGAGCTGCTTGGGCATCCAAATGCCGGTGTCCTAAAGGGTTCCTCCATCAGGACTCCGACTTTATCCTCCCATCACATATTTCTGCACCACGTCCTGCCTTGCTTTCTGCCCTTGCTGCCGTGGTGGGAGAGCATCATGGCCCGTGATCGGAGACGGCTGTGGGCACGAGGAATTTGATCCTGAGCGATGAAAGCAGGAGGTGCAACGGCAGCAATATCTCTTCTCTCACCCCCCCCCCCCCAGCGCTTTCATATCCTGCTGTAATAACGCACAGGACGAGAGCAGAGATGGGAGCGGCGATGGGAGGGAGCATTGGCAGTGCTCCCTTTGTCTGCTGGTCCTGTTCTATGCCCATTTTGGTGAAATATCTCATTCTGGAAGCATCACGGCTGAAATTAAGCCGTGTGTGGTTTAGATGTAAATCTGCTGAGGGGGTCTTGCGAAACAGCATCATGTGGGGTACCCCTGGAAGAAGCCCCAAACCCCAACATCTCCCCTTAGGGACCTTCCCCTGTCCCATGGGGAGAGGTGACCTGAGCATCCCTGCAGGCTCTCCCGCCACCAGGACCCGACCTTGCCCAAGCGACGCTTAATTAACCACTAACGAGCATCTGAAGCATCTGTAGGATGTTCCTGGCATTTTCCCAGGATGGTTCCCTGCAGCCGGGCTTCAGCCTGGAGAAATCCGTAAGTGACAGGCGGCGAAAGCAGGGCTGCAGCCAGACACGGGGTGACTCCAGCAAATAATTGTCCAAAGATTAGCGCCGCGTAATGGGGCCACAACAGCAGACGCCGCACATCATTAGAGCTTACCAGGGAGTGCGGGAAGGGAGTCAACAGACCTAGGGCAAATAAATGACGAGCAAAATACACAGCAGATGTCGCGTGCTAGTTGGGCACGGATTGACTTAAGGGCTGTGTGTCAACAGCAGCGAAGCAAGGCACCCTTCCGATGATGAAAACCCCATAAAACAGCTCAGTTCCTGAAAACTGCCCCTTTTTCCAAGCAGAAATGGATGGGCTGGCTGTTAGCTGTAAGCTGTGTGTTGTCAGCTGGAACTGCTCTGATTTCTGGCTGGGAGTGATGGGGGAGCCCAGGCGTGGTGAAGCTGGCACTGCGATCGTAAAGAACAAACCCACCCAAGTATTAGGTGCTAACACAACTTTTTGGCAAAAAAAAAAAAAAAAGGCTTTGTATATTTGCTATTTTAATTTATCCTGGTGCTTCATTAATGCAGAGCCTGGACAAGTGTTTTGTTGTTTATTTGTGGTTTTTTTTTTTAGAATTTTGTGTTTGTTTTACTACTGCTCCTCCTCAGCACCCCATCCCAGCTGAGGATGCTCCAGGATGCGTTTGGCAAGACAAAGCAAAGCCTCCAGCCCCTGACACCCCAGTGATGGAGGTTTCTGGGCTGGAGCCCTACATAAATATCATTTACGGTGAGGCAGAGTGCAAACAGACGGTGTGAGCCCTGTGCTGGGTGTGCGTTGCTGCAGCTGGGGGATGTTCGCAGGCTGCGCTCGTGCTCTGCAGACACATATATAGGATGTCGTCAACTTTCAGCAATTTATTCCACCTATGCTTTTTTTATTTGTCACTATGGTAACTACAAAGTAAAGATCAAAGCAGCGTGCCATCAGCAGGAAAAGGTATTATTTTTTCCCTTTTTTTTGCAGAAATAACTTAAGCATGCTTTTATTTCCTTCCTATTCAGGGGAATTGGTTGCTGCTGGTCGGTTCCGGCAGCTTTTTGGCAACAAAGTTTGGGTCTCCAACTGAGAAATTATCCTGGAAGAGTTTGCAGCTCAGATAAGCTGAATTTCCTGCAGTTTGAAGATAAATGCAAAGTGAAGGGTGGGTGACCATTGGTTTTGGGGTGCTACAGTGGGTCCTGGGGCAGGAGGAGCTCGGTGGAGCAGCCTGGGCCTTATAATATGAAAAGAGAATAATCCCCCAAATGCTGGTATTGCTCCTAGCTGTGCCCTGGGTATGGGTTTGGGATCCTCATCCATGCCAAACGGGGATGGGTTTGGGGTCACCACTCATGGTATGAGGTTGAGAGTTTATAAATAGACAAAAAAAAGCCAGAAACCACCCAAATCTTGAACTTTGCTTCATTTTTCTTGCTTCTCCTTACTTGTCACGGAAGCTGGGTGCAAGCCCTGAACGTGAAGGGAAGGACTCTGCTCTTCAAATATAGCTACAGGGTCTTCTCCAAGGGTGTTCAGGATCCAGAAGTCACCCTGCTCTGATTACACCCTTAATTATTTTAATTAATAATAATTGCACTCTTCCCTGATAGATGCAGAAATAGAAAGGCAGGTGCAAAAAAGGACGAGGTGCTCAGTGGGATGCTGCTGCAATGGGCTCTGTCCGGCCATCGCCACCCACCTGGAGCTGAATTTCTTGTTAGATTTTCTGCTTTTTGGTAAATGAAGGGGGGAAAAATGTTTTTTATACACTATGAGTGTATTCAGAAGTACAAAATTCAGGGGTTCTGCTTCATGTGTTTGCAATGCAAGCAGTAACGTCTTCTTCTATGGGCTATAAAGCAGCTTTTAAATGCTTGGGAATCAAATGTGTTTGTTGTTCCCACAGATGAGACAAAACAGATCATCGTGCAGCCAATTAGTATGCATATGCTTAAAAAAAAAAAAAAAAAGTGAATGTTTTTGGCTGTCTGGAACAGTCTTGTTGGGCTTTTGAGGAAAACCAGTGGCCATTGGGTTTTGAAAGGGAATTTAATCTATTTAGGGGTGGAATTATGTGATGTATTTGCTTGCAGGCAGCATGGCACAGTGGTCTCAGACTTTCTTTGTCCTTCTCTTTACCTTGCAGGAGCCAAGGTTGCTTGTGCAAGCTTTGCATTGCATTGAAGATGGCTTCGGGTTTGTCCTGCAAAACCTCGCTTAGCAATGTAGAGTTAAATTTAGGCTTTTAAGAGAAATTGGAAAAAACAGTTAAATGTTGCATGAGTGGGGAGGTAGCTCCAAGGTCTCTGCCCCAGCCTCCATGAGCTCCTAGCAGCAGATGATGCTCTTGGCCAGCACGTGGACAACCAAAAGACAAATTCCCTCTTGCTGTGGTGTTTCTGGGCAGTTATTAGTGGGTGCCAAGAGCTGTGGTGGGAGCATCCCCACCAAGTCCCCACTGCGGGATTGACTTTGTGCTAGGAGCCTCGCCAGTCATTGCTGGGGGAAGAAGAGGCAGGGCTGTGCACCAGCCCTGTGCCTATATACCTATAGGCACCTGGTGTAGGGATGTATTTCCTCCGGGGTGGTGGGGCTGGGGAGCATGGAAATGCAGCGACAACAAAACATTTTTTCTTCCTCCTTTCTCCTCTCTGTGTTGAGCAGTGGTTGTTTGAAGAGGGAGCAGCAGCGCAGTGAAATCCCCGGTGGGATGTTCGTGGTGCACATGCTCCAGCCCCAAGCGAGCTGGTGGCCCAAGGGAAAGGGAGCTTGTTATTTCACAGCTTCTTACACAGCAGAAGAAAGGAAAACAACATCTGCCAGCCCATCAGCTGCTGGTGTGAAAGGAGATCCTGGAGGTTTTCCATGCCCAGGTGCCCCCTGAGACACGCTGGAGGCAGGACATGGCTCTGAGCACCACCAATTCAGTCCTGAATTCCACAATACCCACTACAGTTGGGATTTCTCCCAATTTCAGAGATTAGTCATCTCTACCACTCATTATTTTTGGAAGTGGAAATCTCTCCCCAGCTGATGCTTTTTGTAGCCTTCCCTATGAGAATGATGCTGGATTAACCCCACGGGAGCCCACCTGCATGGAGTGGTCAGAGACAGCCGTGAAGGACTCCAGGGCCAAGAGGGGTTTGTCTTGCAGTAGGACTAAAACACCCTTAAGAAAACGTGGTTTAAATATAAATACGATGCTGGGCTGGAGGATGGGGGTGGTGATGGCTTTAGAGCTGGCACCTGAAGCCAGCAAGCACCCAGCTTGCTGCCTCCACCATGGGCATCCCCTTGAGGTGACTCTGCTTTGCTGGCTCCACAGCAGGCACCCTGTCCTGGGGCAGGAGCTGAGCTTCTCCAGCACTCCTCAGTGATCTGGGACTCAAGCAGAGCTGGACAAATAAATGTTTGTGTCCAGATGTGTTTTGGAAGGCAAGAAAACAAAAAAAAAGCACTCATTTATTTGAAGCTCTTTCAGAAGCAGGATGCACAGATGCACGGGTTGGGTTGCTCCCACCCAGCCCTGATTGTCCTGCAGAAGCTGTCAAGATCCATCGAAAGCCAGCAACTGTATAAAAGCATCAGATCTCCATGGTTTTATTGACATGCATCCCCTGGCTGCTTTTTTTTTTTTTTTTTTTTTTGACTGGGTGTTTTGGCAGGCTTTATGGCCAGACTTCATTTTTTTTGTTAGGAGGAACAACTGGCTGGTGTTTGCACATGTGATCTCCAGGGTGCCCAAGTCTCCAGGGCTGCTCGGAGGAATATTTCTTGTGAAATAGCCAATCTGCCAGGAGCCGTGTTCTGCTGATGCTCTGGGCAAGGAAACAGGGGGACCATTGGCTGTGCTGACCGGCATGGTTACTGGAATGTGGTTATGTTCCTCTTGCCTGGCTGTCCTGGATGTGCATTTTAGGTTTGCAAGTAAAAAGATCAGGATATATTTGGGAAATAAAGCTCCATGATTTGTTTTGTGATTTCCCCCCTCCCCCCTTTCCCTCACTACGGTCTATTTACCTAAGTCATTTTTATCTATTCATCTATCTGCATCACATTTATCTGTCCAGGAGATCTTTCAATATATATTTATGTCTGTTCCTTTCTGCATTATCTCTCTTGCCCTTCTGTACCAACCATCAATCTAACTATAAAAATCTCCCCTTTCTGTTGTCTTTGAATAAATTTTGGCTTTTGAACTTCCTCTTCCACTTTATACCCGCTGCATGCTGCAACTTTTTCTAAGCCTGGCCGCAGCTCCTCTTGCACAGAATCTTTAAGAAAACATGCCATTAGCGAGGGTTTGTGCATCTAAAAATCCCCAACCTGGGGACGTGACTTCAGGAAATGTGTTTGTGTTCCCCTTTCTTCTTCACAGCAGCTGCATCTTCACCGTGGCCATTTCTTCCATCACAGAGCTCCTGTGGGACATCTCTCAGGAAAACAAGGTAAACTCACTGAAATTATTTCCCAAATGTAAGTTATTAGCATGAATTTCTCATCAAAAAACAATAACGGGGGATTTATCTTCTTTTTTTTTGTTTTGTTTTGATGGAAGCCTGGATGCATCAGAGAGCTGGCAACACACATCCACCAGATAATTAGATTGAAAGAAAACCACCCCTCTGAAGACAATGAGATGATAAAAGAGATCAAGGTCCCTGGGAAAACGTAATCCTTCCCTGTTTTCCATTACTTCTCAGGTTATTTCACTCCGTTATTAAGAAATTTGATATGCTGATGAGTAGAAGAGAAAGCTTCTGGAATCGGGGAAAAAAAGTTGGGTTGTTTGAGGACAAGCTATTAACAACTCAGCAGCTGTACAAAGTCCAAAAGCAGAGAGTCCCCCATGAACTAGCACGGGACCCAGGCTGGCTGAACCCTTTTCTGTCCCTGGAGATGTCCTACAGCCACTCTCATTACTGGCTGATAAAATTTGGTGTCCCTTGGGTGCCTGGGCCAGTATTCCTGGCCCCTGCCTGGAGAAATGTAATAACTGGTTTATTTAGATGCAGCTGGAGGCAAATGAGAAAGCCTGGCCACCTCCAGCACCAAAAAATGCCTCTCAAAAAACCTGGGAAATAACAACAAAAAGGAATTGGATGCTTTGCAGTTGTCTTTTTTTTTCTTTTTTTTTTTTTTTGGGGTGGGGGGGGGTGCATGTACTAAATGCTAATTGTTTTGTTTCTGAGTGAGGAAGGAAGGTTTGGACACATGGGGTTGCACTTGCAGGTCTGGAGGCACTGAGGAGGGGGTGAAGATCTCCTGTGAGGTGGAGTAATGGGGTCTGGGACACATCCTTTTTGAAGATGTGCTGTGTTGTGGTTCCTGGCATCCTGCAGCAGCTAAGGAGGAGAGATATCCAAGCAGATATTTTAAATAAAGAGCATTTTAATCTCTTCATGGCTGTGGGCGCAGTGAAAGCACAGAGCTTTGCTGTGGCTGGCAGGAGCCTGTATTTATCTTGTCACCCTCGCCCAGGGTCCCCGGCTGAGTGCTGGCACCACGGTGGGGCTTTCCTCCTTGCCTTGCTCTCTCCTCCACATCGAGACTTGCTTGTAGGCTTTTCCCTTCCAGGGAGTTTGATGGATGAAAACGCAGCGCATTAGCTTGATGCAATAGGAGGTGTTTGGAGACTGCTTTCGTCTCTGCTTGTATCAATAATTAATATGTTGATCCAGAGCAATATTATAAACAGGGTAAATGCTGTCTCTCTCTCTCTCTCTTTTTTTTTTCTTTCTTTTTTTTTTTCTTTCTTTTTTTTTTTTTTTCTTTTTAAACAGAAAAAGGAAAAAGAGCAGCTGCTGGTGTCACCACTCAGTGGGGACTTCTTTATCTTCCTGGAGGTCACCATATGGGCACAGCAGCATGGGCACACACCTCACTGCAAGCAACACTTGTCCATCACCTTCTCATTGACCTTTTCAATTTCTTATTCATTTTTCAATCTGAATCCCTTCAAGACACCTGTTTGGATTTAGAAATCACACCAGGGCACGATGTGTCCATCAGAAGGGAGGCTGAGGCGTCCCTTGCAGCAAGTTTCCAATCTCTGCACGGGCAGCACATGAGGGGCACCCTTCCAGAAGCATTTCGTGCCCTTCTCCTTATTGCTGTCTTCAAATATTGATGTTGGAATAGTTTTGAAGGTTGCTTCATCACTGGCTTTGGGTTTATTCTGGAGAACACCACTGCTAACGTGATTCACCTGGGGCCAATGATACCTGTGGCATTTGGACTTCTTAAACACGCAGATAGGGCTCGTCTGCAAAGTCAACTCCGTCTTTCATGATGGTCCTTGAGGTCCCACAGCCCAAATTAAAACATCATCTGCTCTAACTCCAGCACCTCCTAATCCTTCAAATATCTGCTGAATTGCTCTTTGAAATACCTTGGGAGCAGAACTAATTCCGGATGGCATTAGCTTAAATTTGCAATGTCCGGCTGGTGTATTAAAAGCTGCTAGCTTTGAGCCCCATTCATCTAATTTCACTGGCTTTAATAGATGTCTTGCCTTCATGCTGAGAATATTTCTGCTTCTGAGAACATTGCTAACTTTTCATTAAGGGTTTCCAGTGGATAATGTCTCCATTTGAAAGGCTTTATTTAAACCGTATAAATCAATCAGCATCTATGATTTATTTGGCTTTTTGATTCGTACCCTTCTCGGTTAATACACCACGTTTAACCCAGTCTGCTCGTCAACGCAGCCTCGGGGGATGAAAGACAACTGCAGGATGAGTTGTTCAGTCCTGATGCAGAAGGTAATCCCAGTGCTGGCTGGGAAAACAAATTTGTAATCCCACCAGTTTTGGGTCAACTTTCCTGCCCAGAAGCAATTTTGTCAGAATGTAGACCAGTGTTTTTGTTTTTGTTTTGTTTTGTTTTCACTATTTCCACCTCATTTTGAAGTGAAAGGGACCACAAACATTCAAGTAAAATCCCCTGGAGGACGAGCAGTCTGAGGAGCAATCCCTTGTCTTCAGCCCAAACTTCCCCCAAGGGACACCTTGCTCCAAATTTTGGGACCTTTAGGGTTTGAGCCCCAAAGCTCAAAAGCCCTCAAACCTTTCAGGATTGAGCCATCCAAGTCTGCCTCCTTATCAAACCCTCTGTGTGAGGTGGGTCTGACCTGGGTACGTCTTGGGGTTGGGATGCAGCAAAGGACCAAAGGACCTGGTCAATGAAAAGGATTCCCCATTTATGTAGTACCCAGAGGGATTTATCTTCTCCAAGCATCAGCCAGGTGCATGTATCCAGCATGCTGGGGCTAAAATGAACTAACAGGAGGGGAGGAAGCTCAAAAAACAAGAGAGAGAGAAAAAAAAAAGAATGGAGAAAAAGTCCTGGAGGATCTCTAACCTGAAGTGTGTAAAAGAGGAGCTGAGCTGCCATCCACACGCAGCTCTCCTTTGGCTCCGTGGGCGAGGGGGAGAGGAAAAGGAGCTGGGCTGGAAGCACGGAGGCTGCCAGACAGGGAAGCAAGCTGCTGGGAAGGAAAGCAGGGGGAGATGCTCACAAATCACGAGCACCTTTGCAGCGTGCTAAGGAGAGGAAAATGCTCCTGGGCAAGGCAGGACTTCAAAATTGGGTTTTAGCCGAGTGGAGGGGAGAGAGCAGAGCAAGTGCACTGGGCGTCCTGATTTTAATTTTAATCCCATTCCTCCTCTGCCACATCCTCACCCTGCCCACAGACCCCCCTGCCTCGGTGTGCACCACGTCCAGGGCAGATGCTGCTGCTGCTGCTTTCCTTCATTATTTGCTTTTGTGCTCAGGCAGAGCTCTCTGCTTCCCCTGGGGCAGGATATTAACTGGGTTTGATTTCAAGGAACAAATCCCCCCCGTCCTTCGGGTTCGGCTCTTGTACTCGGGCCAGATGATTTCCAGGCTGGCTTCCAGCAGGAAGGGTTGGAGGCCACACGGCAGCTGCTCAGACGGTGGGGCTGGAGCTGCCAGCAATTCTCTGCCACGACCAAAATGATCTTTAATAAACGCATCGGGGATTTCTCAGGCTTTTCCTTTCCCCCTTTCCCTCCGTGCCCTTGGAGCTTGAGCAAACCATGACACGGTGGGGACAGCGTGGTGGCCAGAGGCGAGCTGTGCTGTGCCTGCGTGGGATGGATGAATTTGATGGATTTATTTCCTTCCCTTCTCTCTGGCCCCTTCGCTGCTGTGTCACCGCTGCTTGTGCTTTTCTGGTGCGTGGCTGAGCCAGTTCAACTCACCGAGCTGGCAGAAAATAATTCCTCCCTGCGCTTGGGTGGCTCTGGGGACAGGGAGTCCCTGCAGAGGGACTCAGGGCTTCTCTGGGCATCCTCTTCCAGATTTAATTCGGGATGCGCAGGAAATCTCCCAAAGGAAAATGTTACCAGGAGAGCCTCTGTGTTGTTGCTGCTGCAGGAGATTTCTTGCGAAACGTGCAGTTTTATTTAACTGCAACATTTGCTAGAAGCACACTAATACCAAAAATAAAAAATAAAAAATTCCCGCTGCCATTACAGCGGAAGCGTCATAATGAATCTTCGCAATCTCATTTCATTGTGATCATCGAAACGTTTCATTTAGGTGTCACTCTGCATTCATCCTGACTTCTCTGCTGTCTCACTTACCTATAGGTTTGCGTTATATCTTACATTACCCCGCTTAAACATCAGCCAAATGGCACGTTGTACTTATCGAAGGGAAACAACCTGGCAGGGCGGGACTGAAGCATTTGGGTTTTGCATCGAAGCCTTCCCTAAACTTCTCCTCCCTGGAGACATTGCACAATTTTGTCTTCATGGTCCAGGTTGCAATGAAACCCACCAAACATTTGGGATTTCCTACGGGACATAAAAGTGGGGCTAAGCTGTGAGATGTGCTTTATTTTGGGGTAGAGGATGCCTTCTCCAGGGAGCTGTTGTGGCAGCAACATGTGGTTCATTCACTCTGAGACCTAAAGAAGGCAATTTAGCACCGCACAGCGTGTTTTGTAAGCTTCCTTTCTCTGATTCAAGGAACCTGTTTGGTGTCTCAGGGTCCCTCCCAGCACCACAGCAGCAATTATTTCAAGCTGAGCTTACTCCAATTAATTAGATAGGAAGGGGTGGAGAGAAGGAGGCGCGGGGGCAGCAGGGGCAATGCCAGCAGCAGGGAGGTTCCCACCTGTGGCAGGAGGTTTCACTGTGCTGCTCCATCCTGGGGCGATGCCATGAGTTACCCAGGGATAACCCAGCAGGGACGGGTTTCTGGTCCCTGCCTCCCCACCTGCCCTGTCTCAGGGAGAAAAGAGGAAAAAAAAGAGGAGAAAAGAGGAGCACCTTTCCCCTGGAGCTGGGTGCTGCTGTGGGGTGGCCAGGAGATGCCTAACGGCTGTGCCTGGCTTGTTTTCTCCATCAGGAGCTTCTTTTGAGGGTGTTTTCCTAAAAATAATAATAATAATAATAATAATAAAAATAATAATAATAACAACAACAATAATAATAATAATAAAAAAGCATAAGCCCTCCCAAATTGCTCTGCTAAGCCACCTTGTGCACTATCCTGCTCTACCCATCTGTGGGAATTAAATGGGTGAGGGATCCTAGATGGGGGCAAAGCGGATGGTGGCAGGATTTGGGGCTCATCCCCGATGTAATGCAGCGGGGGGCTCAATAAGAGCAGTGTCCCCATCACGGTGCTGTGACTTGGAG